AAGTGAAGCAGTCCGAATAGTGCCTGATAATGAAGTGGGTAAATTGATTGCGCTCTGTAAGATGTGACCTTTTATCCTCAAAAAGGTAGATGGATTTACACACCACCAATGAGAACCGGCAGAGCTGTAGAGTTATCGGGATTTCTAATGTATGTTCACTTCAATTAGGGGATATGAGGAAATTTGTCCTAAAAAGAATTAAAGCGTAAGTTAATTGTTAATTTTAGATGAAATTGATGGGAATCTTCAGCTTTACAAGGCAGTAGTCAGGCTGTTAGTGACGAAACGATAAATAATCATAGATGACGAAGCTATTCCCTGATATATCACATGCAGTTCACTATAAATGAACGGCAATAATTGTTCTCAACCAGATTAATGCGCCAGCTGTTAAACTTATGGAGATGAACCCAATAAACGTCAAAACACTACTTTTTATAATTCACCTATTACGTGTCAGCGTCAGACAAACACGAACTGATTCAATTATTTAATTTCCGATGCCTTTTAAAGGCTCACCTAGTCTGTGACTCTGTGCTGATATACTGTATATTATACAATCAAAAAATCTGCCTGTAATTCATGCTGGTTGTAAAACGTTTGAAAAGGTTCCAAATTATATTTATCTATTAGTTAGTTTATGAACTAAAACTAAGCGTGCTGAATTATGTCACTGTTCGGATGATTATATTTAGTTGATGTTACAATTTTGGAAATTCAACATGCAGTCTGATTGCGTACACAATAAGATTTAGTTCATGCTATGATCGCACTAGGTCTCAGTGTTACATAAATAAAATTTATCGTACCACTCAACGAAAGCCTAGTTTGTCACATCTCACTCTTCTGATTGTAGTTAAATGTATCATTTATCAGCTATTCTATACAATTTGGCAAGAGATCACGAACTCACTTACAGGATTTTTTTAATTTTTAGGTGCAATGAAATTATTCAGTTTGCTTTAGAGTTTGACTCTTGATTATAATCTTTTTCTGAATTTAGAACCCTTATACACGAATTTCATCAACTTAAAGAAAGAATTTACTCTATGACAGACTGATTTCGGAGGGTTCTATTCACGCGATTTCTATTCTATCGGTATCCTCGACTGTTAATCCAAATCCATTGACAATGGGCGAAAACGGAAGGGTTCTGATCAGGTCGAACGAGGTGATTTCATGTTATATATGTTTGTCAGTTAATCGATTAGCATACCCACGGTCTCGAAAAACAGACGTTTATTTAGTTTGTTTTTAGATGGCGACCTGACAGCCTCGGTCGAGTTCAACTGACGGGCACAGGTCAAGTCAGGGCCTATACATGAGTGATCGATCATAAATTACTTCCACACCTGTTCTACGAAAGCAAAGAGTTACACCTCCTCTCTGATCGAAATAACACCTTGACCAACCAGCTGTATATTATGTTTGCTAACTCTTTCCAAGATGTGGTCTGAATGCTCTTTCACTAGGAACAAGCTAAACGTAATGAGTTGATCCTTTTCAAATATCCTGAACGGAAACGATGTATTCTCATTAGATGGAACAGAAAAGAAGATATGATTGGCACGGGAAGAAACGAAAGCACAAAATATGAATGATTTCCAACCTCATCATAGTTTTATTAAAATTAATAAATAGATAATCTCAGCTTATATAATAATTAGGCTTGTAACTGCCAAACAAAATTTAGCAATCAAGAGTACAACCTAATAAATGTCAAACTAAGATATACAGAACAGGGGAGTTTACCAAATGATGATTCAGGTTGATTATACAGCTTTCTAACTGCGAATGCAGTTGCAATTAATGCGAGTGCTCTCTAAAATTTGGAAAAAAGTGATTGACAAACACTACTTTTGTTCGGGTGGTGAGTGGAAAAATCAACATAACATGCATTTTAGAAACAGAAATGGAAAAGCAAACTTTTGCAAGAAGAAGCTGGTTGGTTTTAATTTGATGTCCCTTCTAATTTAGATTACATGTGGCGAGTTGTTGTCTATAAATCTCGATTAAGAGAGGCTGCAAATGGAACTGGAGGAGCGAAACATGATTTTACGGGTAACCAATAAGCAACCAAGAAGGAATTATGTACGAGGAACTTGAATGTTTTTCTTAAGTAAGCTGAATTTCATATCTAACAGCGGTTGAGATTGAAAATAATGTGGAACGATTGTTGCTCGGGGTACGCATATTGTTTTTCGCAGACGTTTCGTAGCCAGGTTAGGCAACATCGTTGCGCGCAAAGATGTTATTGTTATTACTGTTGTTGCGTTGGCATCATGCTTGTCTACAAGCCGCTGATATATATATGTATATATCTAAGGGGAAGGGGAATTGAGGTCTACATCTTGGAACGTCGGAGGAACTCTTTATTATGCTGGTGTTCCTCAACCTCACATTCCGATCCAGTTCCAGAAGCAGAAGGCTAAAATAAGGGTAAACGGAAACATTCATAAGATTCCACAAAACCCGTAATCGAGAATCACACTTGTATTGGTGAAAGAGATGACTACAGCAGAACAACTGGCTCATCTAAGTTAAACTATTTCATTGCTCTTGCAATTGAGAGCGGGATTGAAACAAGCATATATGGTGGTCCAGTTCCCTTTGGCTCTCGATAAATGCGCCTTTCAATACCGGATCACTAAACGTTTTGCTGAGCTTAATTAAATTAAACAGCTATGAGAGCTAAGAAGAGAAAACAGAACCAACGAGTCGCAGAACACATCTCGAAGTGACCAATAGGCTGAATTTTGTGCAGATTCAAGCAAAAAGCCTGGAGTTTCGTTTACAAAATCTCTGCAATAATAAGCATCAGACCGACTTGGAAAAATCTTTCTAGGACATCTCATGTATTGAAAATCTCCCAATTTCAACCAAGAATTTTGATTGCAGCCACGCTTTATTTCAGAAACAGCGACTACAGAAATTATAGTTACTTGGCGTTAGTAGATTAGTAATTGGTATACATGTTTAATCTTCAGATATGAATACACCCACGTTCACTGCTGCATTTTCAGATATCTTACTGGAATCACCAGATTATACAGCGACAACTGGGGAGAGTAGTTAAATGCCTGTGAGTAGCTACACCCGTTTTCTATCTCATGCAATTCTTGTATCTAGAATGAGTGTGTACCTCGTAACAGCTATTGCACTACACGAAGAATCGGATGCAATGTCGAATGGTAATGTGTGCACTATAATCTAGGAGAGCTACAACCTGATTGCATTTAATTTCGTTCATATGAATGTATTATAAGTTGAAAGACAGTTGAATACCACGAGTTCTATTTGCGCAGTTTGTAAACCAGCATGTCATTTACCCTATTGTCTCTATCACTCAGCTCAGAGTTCATCCCTTTGCCATGAATCTACATTAACCAGTTTATATTAGCCGGAGAACAAACGGATTGAAACTAAGCTGGCAGTATGCAGTTTACTGATTGCCGCAGTTTAAAATTTTGAAGTTTGTTTTGCTTTTGACGTATCGGTAAATTTACACCGAAATAATCCTGAGGAAATGAAGATTCTAAACTTTTGATTTGACTGCATACAATTTCATATTATCAACTATTGATCCAAAATTATTTGATCTTTTTCAAGCGGTTTTCAAGGGAAGATCTTTGAAACTAAACAAGGAGCACATACACTTTATCTGTTTTAACTCGTTTATGCTCGATTCCTAAATCAATAAAATACTTTCAAATTTTGATGACAACGGGAACTCTAAAATTGTATCATTCATGCATTTTACACCGTTTTATCTGAAGTGAGCTATTGGGTTACAGTCATGAATTATAGGTAACAGCCACTAAAATGATGAAAAAAGTGACTTATGCGTTTTTACTTGTCCAAGTTATGTTGGATAAACAGAACTTTTCTTTCACATAACGAAGAAAATTGTCCGGGGTTCTAGTAGTTGATACGTATAATTCTTTGATTTGAGAGAACTCGTGCAATTTCTTATAACCTAATCCGCTCAATTAACTGCATACAACTGTCAAATCAATGTGAATAACCCATTAAAATGAAACATTTTTGAAACAAACGTTTCTCTTAGGTTTGTACGTTTTTATCTATTTTTTCTATTCACTGGTATTTTTTCATCCCAACATGTGAACTCAAACGTTCCGAAGCACGGTGTTTGATTCCATTATCCATTTTACTCCAACTGGTTAAATACGTACTCGGATTTTGGTAAGAAGGAAATTTTCATCTTTCTTCGTCAATGTCAAGGTATTTGTTCATGGTTTCTCTCAACTTCTGGGATGTTTTCATTTGCAACGCAAATTAAAGCTGAAATTTGTCATTTAGTCAATGAATGTTTGTTTAAATGATAATTCAAATCGAACTCAACAAGGCTGTTGAAAATGTAACCCCATTATTTAATGGTCGTTTTTATGTTGCTTTTTTACAAAACCATGGATAGAATAGAGGTCACCGTTAAACCGGTAAACAATTCTTATACTAACCTGAAATAACGAGAACTGCCGAGTTGATTCGATTGCATCACGGCTCCAAATTGTGAAAAAAGTTGGAAAAATTGTATTTTGCTTCGGAATAGCACAAGTCTGTGGCAAAGCCGATTAATATGTTGATGCGAAAGTTTAAGTGCTTTAATGACGTAGATGCAGTGATTCGACAAAATCGTCTTTTTTATATCTGCATGAGGGTGCTAATTTGAACGTATTCCGTGGTTAACCTACCGTATGTATTTTGTTAAACTTTAAAGACCTTCATTGTTATAACATAAAAGAATATTTCCTAGTCGAACATGTTGATGCTTTCTCAAAAATACAAAGCGGATAAACCGAAATTGTTAGAATAAATTGTTATCCAACAACATAAAGCAAAGAAATCGAGGTTAAGGTTTAGTTTTTGTATTTTTAAATCTCTTCAAATCATTTTCTGGAATGAATAAAAGTTGCATTCTTCGTTTCTTTTTTTCTTTGGTGCGTCACACTTTCCGAAAAGAGTCAGTCGGAACCACAGAGTTAGAAGTATTCAACAGGTTCCGGCTTTGCACACTCTTCCGCACACAGTCGAACCCGATTCATGCATTCCTGTATATCATCTTCTTTTTGTGCACAAACAACGCCGTACATGGCGCATATAACTGTGCAATTTTGACGCAACAGCTTGGACAAGGTCCCAGCTTCGACGGAATCCGGCGCTTCATTCAGTAGCAACAGAAATACCACGATTGCCCACAACAGTGGGGACATTCGATAATGCAACAGGGTACTGCGGATCATCACTTCAGTAGCAGTGACAACGTTTGGATTTCTGTAATAGAAAGAGTAGTGCTCAACTCAAAAAATAGGGAAAATTTGCATTTAAATGCGATGGAAATGTTTGTTATGACCAACAAAGAACATCTGCAGTTCAATTATTCACGTTGAGCGTACATGGTCCTATGCATCTGTGATAGACATATGACTAAAGTGCTCCAAAAAAGAAACTTGTCTTCCAATTGAGATAATCTGATAAAATGCTGATGGATGGCTAAAGTTGCCCAGCACTTGAAAAACACAGTACATGCTCAGTCTACTTCGGTCAAATTCAAGTGAATTGGTTTAGCGGTTTCCTGTTTAAATATTCGAGGATGAAACTAAGTCTGTTCAATAGAATTTAAAAGTTTGATGCTTCAAAGTGTACAAGGAAATTTTTAAACCTCGACTCAATGAGACATCTATATCTTTAACGGTGCGTGTGTGCCTTATTTCACTTGGCACGTGATGGAACCTTTGTTCTTCAGTTAAGTGGCTCGACAACCAAATCAGTGTAAATGCTGACCAAAATAGCTATTCTATTCCATGAACATACATTTTTATTTTCAGATGTAATACTATTACTCATGTTTAAATACTGCCTATTTTATGGGTAAAACCTTCTCTTTTGAGTACCCATCTCTAACATGCGATGCACTTTTTGTTCAAAGGCATTTAAAAGATGATCATTATGGCTCAAACTCTGCGATGCTGTTCAAGAATACGAAGTTTAGACGTTTGAAGCGAGTTAAGAGGCTTCAAACGAATTGAAGATATTTTCAATGTTTAAAATTTTGTCAGTTTTATTGAAGGATGTGGAGCATGTTATGCCAATGAATGGTGAGCGTACTGCTATTCTATGACTTGAATATCATAGTTGAGTAAATTAAGCGAGCTAAATTTACAATTATTGAGGTTTTAGATTTCAGTATTCCACATTGTACATAGCGATGGTTCTTTTACCCTTACCTCTTTTATGTTTTATCTGTTTTATTGAACTTTGCTTTACTTTGTTGCCACGCTAAAGACCAATATAAACATAGTATTTTCTGCAGTATGCATCATGTTGAGATGCAGCGAAATCATACTGAACATAAATCGTGCACCATTGAAATATTGTCTTTTATTTTGAAATTAATCTTGGTAAAGGTTTGCTTCGGTTATTAATAAGTTTAAATAATAAATTTTGCAACAAATCACTTTGCACGGTAAGCAACTAACTAATAAAAGATAGAAGTGAATATAGGGTGGACGTTTTATCGAAATTATGCTGGAAAGAATTTTCGGAAATACCTCCTAATAAAACTTTCCCATGAAGGTTTGTACTTCGGTATTTAAGCAGCACATACATTCAGATATACAAAGAATATACCATTTTATATGCAATTGCATACTTAAAAACGGGATATCATAACTTGAACTGAAAAGGTTTGTGCTGCTTAGCTGATATATTTATTTATGATTTGACTTCGAAAACCGCCAGCAATTGCATGAAATTTTAGCGTTCGAAAGACAAAAATAATGTTTTTGTTAGGTAGAGTCATTTCAGAGAACATACAAACACGTATGAGTAAGACTAAAAAGTCGATGGAATTCCAAATGTTTGTCTGTTTCGAAATGTGGACCTTTTCTAATATCTGTTTAAATGTGATAAGGCTGTTTGATGCACATTAGTGTAAAAGACTTTTATCTCAGGACCCTGTTTTATTTGGTCCAACCTATTTATTTCTCGTGCAGACAGGAACTAGCAGGCGAATCTCTTGTGCAACCAAAGGCACATCAAGATGGCATCTGATGATGCAGGAGAACATAATACTCACAGCACACCATGTTTTTGATGACATGCACATATGAAAGGCTTGTGTAAGGTACTGAGCTGCAAATTCTCTTACTGGAACTGTTCTGTGATCCACGTTGTCTTTCTCAGTACATACCTTGCCCTTACACTAGAATAATAGGAGTATGTCGTAACGTTGTTTGATTTGGGTCCAGAAACGAAGTGTTTTATCACTACGATTCATTTCACGAACCAGTAGCAACTGGTTTTTCAAAAATAAACTTTTTATTCACTTCTCTCACACGTGATTTGAGCCCAAAATCGCGTTTTAATTAGATTACAGGACATCGCCTGAACGTTAAGTAAAATGTCCCACTTTTATACAATACCAATATACTACGGGTTTGTCGCTGTGGTTAACTAAAAATAGCGGATACACGAGTTCGCCTTTCGAAAACGGAACACCTAATTGAGCTGTCTCCTTCGGTTTGCGCTCACAAGTAAATACCACACCACAGTCATTCAATATAGAATAACTGAAATTTTGTGTGCGCTTGTGATGCATACAACATGATTTACACCTGTTAAATGGTTTTTGTGTTGCTATATGAAACTGTCATTTGCACTGTGTTATATTTAAAGTTGCTTCCCGGGGTAGGAGTTGACTAAATTCATTTTCTTCTGTTCGACAGGCCTAACAATTTGTTGCAGAAGTTTCAATACTAGCCGATATGACGTCTCCACAAGCACGCACATCAAACCGGCCAAGAAAAACTGAGAACTGTGTTTTGTTATTAGCAGCATATTTAAAGGAAAAGCTCCGAATTATTATTTTAAACTTAATGTCAATACAGAACACAAGAATATGGACTCATGTCCCCTAAGCCATTTTATTATTTATTTTTATAAAAACGGGAGTAAAAGAGCCAACTTCAGGAAAAGTGAAATGTTTATTTACTACTAGTTAAGCTTCGTATTTTACTACCTCCTCCAACCAATTTATTAGGATTGTTCTTGGTTAAACGATGTGAAATAGGTTGCTGAATTTTATGTTGAAACGTTTGAAGTACCGCGTAACTCTGGCGGAACATCAGTGCAGTATCTAACATTAACTACTACGTTTATTTGTATTACATTTTACAGACATTATAGAATAGATTATACGCCATAGTCTATTCACTGCTTAATGCTACCAGCTTGTCCTTGTCAGAAGTATCAAACTCAAAATAAATAGCGAAAACCCTTTAGTATATTTTAGCATACATTGATACCTCAAGATAATGACAAAAATCCCAGCATCTATTTTTTGTTATTATAATAGCAATTTAAAATTGTATTTCCCTTTCAATATACAATTTCTATTTCCATTCGAATTCCACTTTGTGACCCCAGGATAATACATGTATTTGAACAAACACAGATGCAATGAATAAGGCATGCCACAATTTATTTGTTGTCAAGCAAATACAAATTGAAATGTGGACTCACATAAAACAAAATAAGGAGTAGCTTACAATAAGTACTTTGTGTTTTGCTCTTATCATTTCATGTCGAGTAAGATTGGAACGACAATTTATCGAGCTCTTGAATTCGTGTAAGCTGTTTCTCCTGGTTTAGATAGCAAACCACTGTTTGTCACTGAACCAAATTGTTGATCAGAAATGTATGAATGACTCGGAGCTAAGAACTAGCGAAATAACTGTGCATATTTATGAGGACGCTCTGTGTAGCCCGCAAATCTTGTTATGATTGATTATCCGACTGATGTTGCAATTTAGTGTCCCCCTGACTGAAAAGAGCGATTCCTTATGTTTGCTGTGAATGATTTACTCGAATATGGTGCCCTGATGTTTCAACCGATGATCGATGGCGATCGTAAATTCCGGAGTAAATGATCCTTGTGATATAGTTTTTGCTTAGACAGTATGGAGAATTATCTGCGATTTTTCCTGTAGCTCAGCTGAGTTTAATTGAATAACTAAACAAATTATATGTTTAATTAAACAAAATCCGATAGAAAGCTATTAAGCTTCAAAAATATAATACATATTATTGGAAATTCATGCAACGCTATAGTGTTGCAATGGCAATAATTGTGTAACAAATTGCGATGCTAAATCTCAATTTATTCGGACTGGAAAATCGTTTTCCAAGAAACCTATTGTTTAGTTGAATGTTTCATTATTAGGCCAATTCAAATGTCCAAAATATGAAACCAAGTTAGTGTTTAGAAAACAAAGGATATCACTTCGTCAGTTTAAAATATGAGAAATACGGTACTGATCTATGGGTTTGTGTTTGGATTTACCCGTAGTTCATCGTGTGTTACTTTGAAATTCTGTATTTTAAGTTATATCTTGAACAGAATCACCGCATAGCTTGGGTATGTTTGTCGTATTTGTATAATTAATAATCACTGGATGAAAACGCTGTTCCGATTAGGATGTGAACTGTGTAGATTTTCACTGGTGCACTGCGAAGAGGAATATCATCCTGAAATAGTTTTCTATCATGATGTCTAAGTTAGTGGTAATAAATAAAACAATTAGTATTGATTGAAAATCGGTGATGAATTACAATTGACTAATAGACTTATGTTAGGAAAAAAGCGTAACATTGCAACTTACGGAATGCTTGCCGATATGATGTAGCCTACTGTGGCTATTAAATAGCCAAATGATATGAACCATAGACCAATCAAGTGACAGAGCGTGGGCGTAACGGTTATTATTGCAACCAGACAAATCCGGGCCAATGGATGAGAGTAACAAATATTCTGCAAAGTTAGATAACACCAAATTTGCCCTTATTCTGCCTTCTTTTAACGTCAATTGAATTAAAATAAAACTACCATGAGCAGTAAAATGGAATGGGAGTAAAATGGAATAACAATGACGCGTTCAACTGATAGCAATACGTTTTGCTTATGATTGAGGTTTTTGCCCCATATTTGATCATATTTATTTGTTTTTCTTTCAGTCATAAAGAAACTTTTGAGACAAAAACTAACTGTTAGGCAAACCATCGCAATGTTTATCAGATGGGTGTTTGCGTTCCATCCGATGGCAGTTATTGTCTACTACAGTTATAACAATCATAAAATTATAATTCATTAACAAAACAGTGACAGGCAGTCCAAGTGGTAGACAATGGTGAAGACTTATAATATAGGCCCACTCTTTACATAATTGACAAATTAAAAATAAAT